AAAAAAACCAGAACAAATTCTAGATTGTCTTATTTTCTGAGTGTGTTCCAAGAAAAAGTAAACCCAGTGAGATGTAGTTCATGTTTACGGAGCCAGGACAGTAAAATGTAGTAATGTACTAGTCTGCAAATTATTCTTTTTCTGAACTACTTTAAAAAGTAGTGACTACGAACATGGAAGACACTTTTCATCTTATGTGGGAAAACTTACTTGAATGGATAAAACTTTCTTACTGTAGTGAACTATTTGGAAATAATATCTACTACTCTGCTTTACAAAGCAACAACGTAATTGCCTTATTGGATTCCTACTTGAAATAGTGATAGCCAAATATCATTGCAATATATGCAATAGGAATGACTAGAAGCCAAAAAAAAAGGAAATTCAATAATGTAAGACTCATTTACACAGTGTTTACATACTTACAACAAGGAGGTGCTACTCTATCCTTTTCTGTGTTAAACATATTAATGGATGAATGCCAAGCAGAATAGTTGATATGTAAAACACTGTGGGATGTGAATGTTGCATCTGAATGTGTTGTGGAAATATGCAATAGGAAGTACTGTACAGAATACATAAGCTGTCTGAAAAGAACAATTTTTTTTGAAAGTGTCTTTCCACCAAACTGTTTGTCATAAGTGATTGTTGAGGCCAATAACATAAAGTTTTAAAAAAATCTGCTTATCTTATATGGGCATAAAATCTCCAGATTTATCATAAGTACTGATGCATTTTGGAAGGAACGTGTATCCTCTTGCTTCTTGTCTCTACCAAGCCTCTTTCGTTCAGGATGAAACTTGAATAAAGAGAGGAGAGGGAGTCCCATATGTGTTTCTTGCAAAACTTTTCACCTTTAATCACAGAGATGTGTCAAAAATGTCACAAAGAATTTGACTAGTGGTCTTACCAATGACATGAAAACAAAGTCTCTGATGATGAGGACTTAAAGGAAAACTGGTTTCAAATGTTCTGAACGTGCCAGAATAAGCATGATTAACTTTTATATAATTAAAATAAGAATCAGGCCTGATATCTAGTATGTTAATTTTATTCCCTCTGTGTGGCTGGAAAGTTACTCACTGAGAAACAGCTTCCTCAACTCTTATTTTTCATCTTCTATGATCATTGAAAAAGTCAATTATTTGAAGGAAGTATAACACCTCATTTTGGAGGGTTTTGCTTTCTACATTTTTGATGCATTAGAGTAAGTAAAGTTGTGCTAATCACCATTCTATTAATGTGTATGCTATTATTTTATTTTTGTGCTCATTAATCTGTTTTTCATATGCTAACGTCCTTCTGATGTGCAAAGGGAAGCAAGATAAATATAGCTTATACTAAGACCCTTTTGTAGAATTTTAGACTGTGTAATAGCAATACACAGCGCATTTGGGGCAAAGGATTCAGACATCTTTAAACATAAGGTACCCGAAATGCTTAAATTACAGGTCTGTTCATACACTGTGGTCCATACAGGCAAAGATGACAGGTAAGCACTCCAAACCGTCAGGGAGAGGTGACTTGATAGACTGACTGGATAACAAGTTTAGAACAACTGAGAATAAGATTGTCATGGTTAGTTTTTGGAATTGGTTACCACAGAAGTCTTGTTCAAGTTAATTAATTTCATGCATGTGGATTTGGGATGGATTTACAGGCAGGCATTAGAGCACGGAGGTTAAACAAACAGAATGAGAAGGCAGGTTTAAATAGGAGCAAGAAAGAAGAGGAGAAGTTGCAATACTGTATAGGAGATCTTCAGACTGAGTAAAAGCTGCTGTTCTGAAAATGTGTATGTTAATAGTGTCCTGAGAATCTAAGTAAAGACAGGAATGAGTGGGATATCGAAGCACACTTTAATCAGTGTACTTCATATGCTTGTTTAAGAGTTCAGTTTTGTGGTCAGAGTTCCAGTTGTGGAATTTTGCAATTGTTTGTAACAACCGCCTGAATGATGGATGAATACATCTTCTTCTAACTGAAATATGATGCTCTCCTCAACACACCAGTAGCAATCCTGACCTATACTGACTCATCCTCATAGTCATGAATTGCATCCAGGTCTACATTGGTTCAACTATGCATCTCCTTTAAGTAGGGTTAGAGTTTGGAAGCGATTTAAAGATAAATATAGAATCAGTAAAAGTATTTGAGATGGAGTGATTGCAAGCTCAACTGTCCCAGGCTAACATCCCGGGAAACTTCAGGAACAAATATGTAAAACTGTCATCCATTGGCTCTGTCCAGTCTCTGTACCTTTTTCTCTGATGTTAAGGTATTAACAATGATTGCCATAACTGTTTGTCCTTCCATACGTGCACGTTCCACATTCCCAGATACCTTCACATTTATGTACTCGAAACTGCTGCAAAGCGATCCAGTGTGTTGCAAGAACCTGCCTAATGCCCAGATGCTGTTACAGAACTGTAGACCCCAGATGCATACCAGTGGGGACTTGGATCTGAGAGCAGACACATGAACTCTACCTTTCCATTTGTCAGCCCATCATAAATTAGAACAGATCTGTAAGTGATTTAAAACATGTTCAGAGAGAAAACTACACAAAATGCAGAAACTAAGATTAGGATAGCCCACTGTGACAAAGAATACACAAATAACAGAAGAATAGTAATACCTCTTGTGAAACAGAGGAATCTAAGATTGTTACACTTGTTTCTACCACCTGAGTAATTAAATCCTAGATATATAATTTATTTCTCCCCTTCTACACTCCCAAATGAATGTTACTGCAGCTGATGTAATTGTCCTTATCTATATCTGTGAAGCCCCCCTCAAAGTTTTTATGCTGTGCTAGATCTCAATTACCATTATTTAAAGGCTAGCTAAAACTATTATTTGATGTAATTGATTTCTACTATGGTGACAGCTACTGGGAGGGTAGAGCAAGATCTCACTGAAATCCCTGGCTGATAATGACTCTGGTCAAGACAAAACCCAAAAATTTAAATTCTCAACAATAAAACAGTATCTGACAAACCATGCACTGTTAAATGTTTATGCATTAATAAATACACATTAAACATTAAAACAGAAGTGATGTAAATATAAGTTCATATTTTTCAACCAGAGCAGTGTGGCTAAGTAGGAATGAGACCCACCCATCCTGCTGTAGATCTGTCTTATCCTATGATATAGGTGATATGGGGGAAGGAAAAATACGTATCAGTAAATCCAGTGCTCCACTTCAAATACTCAATTACAGATTACTATTGTGGACTGCTGAAATATCTTTCGTTCACTAAAATTTCTGCTGTGATGCTTAAGAAAGGGAGAAAGCAAAGTACATGAGGTTGCAAGTGGTTGTAGTTAAATTTGTTTTCTCACAAAAGCTAGAGGTTCAACTCTGCCTTGGATCATTCTGTCCCTCTCCTAGTGGTGTGGAATTGTTCTCTTCAATATGTATTTTAATGCTTTGTCACAACTATATTGAAATGCTAGTAAGTTCATGCAGGAAAAGCTTCCAAAGGTATCTGGGACAACTTTGAAAGTGGAATTTGGGACCTTAGTCTTATCAAAATGTAGTAGAAGTTATATTTCCTTAGTAGGCTCTGAAATTTTTCTTAAGCCTACCTCTGAGGGTGTATCAGTGGCGTGTAGCTTAGTTTGTAAAAATACTGAACAAAGACCCTCTAGACACAAGTAAACAGGCAGCAAGGTAAGTGCCAAAGTGGGCTGGGGTCAGCAGGTGGTGAGGAAGCCATGACATCTGTGATTCTGCTGCCCACTGTGCTCAGAGCCTAGTGGGAGCAGCAATCCCTTCCTAGAAAAGAGGCAAGTTATCACCAATCAGCTTTAGTAATGTGTTTTCCCTCTGTGAGAGGTAACTGCTTCCTGCTGTTGCCTTCTGCAGAGTTCCAACTAGTAGGCTTAACCCCTAATTTGGGAAAGAATAATTGCTCTAACAGTCACTGAAAAGCTGTCAGCTCTTGCTTAGGATGGCATTTCCTGTGCTTTTTGTATGAAATATTCACCTTGTAGTCACTGTTCACTTTTACTGCATCTCAGAATTTCCTGTATTAAAAGTGGAAGAGAGGAGGCTTAGTAACACTTAGCTTGGCTGTGGAAAGCTTACAAAGTTTGTTGTAGCAGTACATTACTTTATTGATTAAGCAGGATGCAGGTAGTATGTTTAACAGTACTGTTCTCCAAGGGGAAAGATCTGTTACAGTGTTCTGCAAAGATCAGTAACTCTCCCTCTTACAAAATCATGAAGCAAAGTTAATCACCTCCTTTTGCTTCCAGATTTAGTTATTTAAATGTTCAGTGCAAACAGAAAAGATGAAAGAAAACTCTGGAGGACATCTGTCTGAGTAGAAGATATTGATATAAATAGAGAGACTGGCAAAAGTAGTTGTGAGTCTGTTTCGTTTTCTGCTTCAGGAAAACCAGCCAGAACAGGACTCTGCAGGAAAAGCACTGCCATAAGCTCTTGCTGAGGGAGAAATTGGGGCACAGCTCAGCACTGTTTGTTTTCATGTAGGTTTAGATAACAAAACACAGAAGGCTGAAAGGGAGATTTGATTTACTATTGTTCAGAAAGCACATTTTCTTAGGTCTGCAAACTTCAGCTGTCCCTGCGTTTCTGCTAGGGTTTTAGATTTTTGCTTTTCTTTACATATTTTTCCATCTGTATTTTCTGTTTGGGATAATAAAAGCTTTAGAAGTCTAGAAGAGGAGGAGAAAGTGAGTGGTTTGCAGCAAGGAAGCGGAGTCTCTAATTTCATTCATTTCTCTTTTCATTGTTTGGCAGGTGGAAAGCACAGATTTGCAGAGCTGAACTGGACCAGCTGAAGAAGTGGGGGAAGAGAAACAAAACAAGTACATCACTATTGAAAAGAGCTTCAGCTTTATCTAGCAGCATCACCACAGCAACCAGAAAGTACAATTAAAAGACAAGGGCTAGAGCAGAGAAGGTGAAAGTGTGGCTCCTTACCTTTGGACAGAAGGCAGCAAAATAATTATGCAGAACGGAAAAGAGTATTTGATGGATCTAGCCAAACTGTGGCAAAGGGAAGTGCCCCTTCATTAACAGGGATGTGCCACTGTTTATGCACTGGAAAGGGGAGTGCCATGAGATCTACTGAAGAGACTATTTCTGTGGTTGCGTATCTACATGTGTTTGCACCTCTGCTGGGACTGAATTAGGTGGTACGGGCATCTTGGACCATCGGGTGCTGGGCAGCAACTTTTTTTTTTGTTCAAGGTGTACCTGGCACGAGAACTGAAAGACACCGCAGATCTATTTCAGAGACGCAAACCGAGCGAGACAATCTCCAGCCTTTCCCTTCTGTAACTGCCTGCTATACCATGGGATGTCGGCAAAGCTCTGAGGAGAAAGAGGCAGCGCGGCGGTCCCGTAGGATTGACCGCCACCTGCGCTCTGAAAGTCAGCGACAACGAAGAGAGATAAAGCTCCTTCTCCTGGGTACCAGCAACTCTGGGAAGAGTACTATTGTAAAGCAGATGAAAATCATTCATAGTGGTGGCTTTAACTTGGAGGCCTGTAAGGAATACAAACCTCTGATTATCTATAACGCAATTGACTCTCTCACACGTATCATTCGGGCTCTAGCCACCCTTAAGATAGAATTTCACAATCCTGACAGAGCATATGATGCTGTGCAGCTTTTTGCCCTGACAGGCCCAGCTGAGAGCAAAGGTGAGATTACCCCTGAGCTTCTGGGAGTCATGAAACGGCTCTGGGCAGACCCTGGTGTGCAGGAGTGTTTTTGCCGCTCCAATGAGTACCACCTAGAGGATAATGCTGCATACTACTTAAATGACCTAGAAAGGATTGCAGCGCTGGACTACATCCCTACAGTGGAAGATATTCTGCGTTCTCGGGACATGACCACAGGGATTGTAGAAAATAAGTTCACCTTCAAAGAACTGACTTTCAAAATGGTGGATGTGGGTGGACAGAGGTCTGAACGCAAAAAATGGATCCACTGTTTCGAGGGGGTTACAGCAATAATTTTCTGTGTGGAGCTGAGTGGATATGACTTGAAGCTGTACGAAGATAACCAAACAGTAAGTGCACCTTCTGTTTCTTATTCTCTTTCCTTCTCTTCCTTTTCTCTTCCTTTTCCCCTTGCCAATGTTTGGCCTTTTTTTTTTTTCTTTTCCTTCCCTACCTCCCTACCCTCCCAAGGCAGTAATCCCTGAGTTCATAACCCCAAATGTGATTTCCTTCCCCTCATCCCCAATCTGTAGTAAAAAACCAGAAGCTATGATTCCTTTATTTGGATAGTTTTCCCCACTGGACAGACTTATTTATTTATTTATTTAATGTTACTCTTAGGAAATGGTGGTGGTGTTCATGTGGCAGCAGATTTTATTTTTTTTTTTCCCCCTGCCTTTTTGCTAAATGTTTACCTGGTTAAGTGTTACTCCAAACATCACTTAAAAAAGTAGACAGCAGTGACATCCTGGTGTACAGGGTTGGTTAATTTGGACACCATGTTTTGCAACTCCTTGGAAATTTTGAAGCTAAATAGTAACAAGTAACAGTTTTTTCTCCCCATTTTTTCCAGGATTTTCAATCAGCATTTGGGTTCAAATATGGTTTTTAATTAGTATGGGACTTTTAAATTTAAAATTTTCTTTGACTGTTTTTGTTTATATGGCTGATCTGCCTTGTCCAATGTTTAATTCCCTTTAATGCTATTAAGCTTCTGGTCTTCACAGCACACAAATACAGTAACTATGGAAAAATATATGAACACTTATGCATATGCAATGGTGTGTTTGCTGTCACATTCAGGTTGCCTGAGTTAACCTTTATAGGGTTTCATTTGAACTTATTTTTTTGACAGCCTTGTAAAACATGATTCTTAAGAGATGGGAGTTTGTGAGTAAGAACATAGAATGATTCTATCATCTAGCCATTCCTAAACACGCTGTATTTATGTTTGAAAATTATATATTCAGGAAGAATTAAAATCTGTACTGCAAAATCAGAAAGTTAACCTTAAAATGCTTCTATTTTTCTTGTACTCCTTTACACATCTTCAGTTGTTTTACAGTTAGTAAGGTTGTTCACCAATATCAGTTCCTGATTAGTCCAGAACACCAGAATTTTTTACAGCAGGTGCATTATGTAAGTGTTGTTGGGTAGGAAATTGTTCCAAGAAATCTTTATAGGATGTTTCAAATCTAACTGGATCTCAATAAGTTTATGGAAGGGGATCTTTCAGCCAGGTCTAATGACCTGGTTTTGGCAGTGCTCTTTATCAGACCCCCCTACCCCCCATTTATGTGTAGTACACACATCTATATTAAAGTTTCTTTACAGAGTATCTTAAGTCAAATGCAGTATACTGCACATGCATGTGTAAGAGCTGTAGCGTCTGTGTGACATCCTCTAGTGCTTGTATGGGTGTGACACCACTTTGTGTGCAGCTATTTCCTTTTCCCTTTTTGTCTTAAAATAATAATTTCAAGGAACGCCAAAAAAATCTCACAACTGATTACCAATTCATATAGACTTCTGTAAAATGATAAAATGGGGGAAAAGGTTGGGAGAAAGGGGAATTTCCTCCACAAACAGACTCAGTAGAAGGGAGTACTGAAGCTCTACATAAGATGTCTGTCACAGTGCAGATCCCTCTGTTGTGAATTCTCTGCCCTGAAAAGCTCCCTCCCCTGTCCTGGAGAGGGGGCCGACTGTGACCTTCTTCACTGTTGTTTATTTTGTACTGGACTTGTGTAATGTCAATATAGTTGCATACCTGATTTTTTTTTATTATTAAAAGTTATTTATTGAAAGCTCCTGTGCTCTTTAAAGATGCCACACACATGGTCATGGTTTTGATAATGACTGGAATAACTGCAATGGCTTTAATGGCTAAATGTGAAAGCTTCCCCAAAATTAGGTATGTTTTATAACACACATGCCATTCACCAGATCCCTGAGGCAAGGTGAACTATATCAGACCCGAATCAACTTCAGAGCCTTCTATCTAGTCTGCTGTTTATACAACATCACTTATCATAGAATCACAGTAGAGATTAAAATGTTGTCAAGTGACCTAGGAGGTTCCGTAGTTCTGGTGATAGGAATGTATAGCAATCGAGGTGGGGAAACTCCATGAGATGGAAGCAGTTAAATAATTCCATGGGTGATACTTCAGACTTATTTTCCACAGTTTGTATCAGAAGTTGACAAACATCACTGAAGTAGACTTGGAGGAAGATGCTAATATTTCCTTCCAAGTCATATGAAAAAAGCACAAACAAAAAAGAAACAAATATTGGACAAAACCTGTAGAGCAATACTTCTCAGAAATCTCACCCTTGGCTTTTTGTTTGCTTGTTTGTTTTTACTGCCATACCTCTCAGTAAATCTTGTCTGTTCAAGTTCTGGGTACTGCAACCAACTCTTTCGCTCCAAACCAGCATAAGAGTAGATCACCACCAAAGAAAATAAGTGAAACTATTCCCTTCGCATCCCGTGCATGTAGGAACGGGGTTCTTTATGCATCACTTTGTACAGTCTCTTATTGTTATTGGTACAGTGATGTGAAATTATTTCAACTCATTTATACCTTTAATTCTTTTTTTCAGCATTTTTGGTTGCTAATACAGTTTCTTTACAAAGACTTTTCTCATTAGATGGGAGCTAAGTGATAAGTTTGAGAAGCAATTATACTTAGGTTTGAACCAAGACTACAGAATTGTTTCCAAAATTATTCCCTTTGTTTTACAAGCTTGCCTTTTACAGTTGAATCCCTTTTGCATGCACTTTCTATAATTCTTCAAGGGGAAAAAAGGTCATGATCAAGAATATTTGCCCAAGCTGAATTTTGATAAAACTTTTAAAAAATACTTGAGTTTTACTGTAAGTGAAATATGCATTATGAATACTAAATCTCTAAAGATACTAAAGATTTTTCTTATTAGAAAGCAGATAAGTGACAAGTCTGAGAAGCAATTATACTAGGTCATGAGAAATATCATGCCAGAGAAACTTATATTAAGAGAAAAAAAATTGACACATAATTTTAGCTTTGTCAAGTTTGTCTAAATCTTTGTCATGCCTCCCTCATCGTTTCCGTGTGTCTGAGGCTGTTCAATGAGTATGGAATTCTCTCTTAAATGATTTTTGCATCATTTTCAATAATCCTGTTATTATTTCCAATAATCCTGACTGTTTGAATTGTCTTTTTTTGTTGTTGTTGTTGGTATAGCTTATCACATATATAATACTTCCCTATTGTTATCTTCTGTAGTGATTTTACAGCTTATCCACTGCACTTCCATTTTCTTCTCTGTACTACACTTCACCATTCACTGTCCTACACGTGGACTTCTGCTTCATTTTCTGGAGATTCTTGTCTTGGCATTAGACCTTCCTATTGTAACAGATTTGTGTATCTGTTTTTTGTTTAGTAGCCTGCTCTTGCCGTGAGAGAAGCATTGCCCCTAATCCTTTGTCTTCACTTTCAGAGATGTTGGGAAAAGCATATCTTATTTATATCTAGATCCTGACTAGGAGTTAGTTGGTTTCTTGCAATTCTTTAGACTTTTCCTGCCTTGTTTTTCAGATTTAAAAATCAAAAAGAACTAGCCAAAAGGGGGAAAAAAAAAAAAAAATCAATATACTCTGAAAAATCCTTACGGATGTTGATTTTCATTCCAGTATCTAGAATAAGAAGATAATGAAGTAAGTGTCTGGGTTATTTCAGAGTGAGATTGAAGCCCACTTTTACATAGTGTTTTAACAGCCTGGATGGCTAATCTCCTAGGATTTCTTTTTATCCCTTTTCTACAGTCTGATGTTCCTTGGTGCTACTGCTTATAGAAGGTTCTCAACATTGACATTCAGACTTTTATTATCCCTCAGCTTCCATGTGTACGCAACCATGTGTATGTCCAAGTATTTGCCCATCTATAAAATTAAATTCTGCCAACATATTTTTATGATCTGTGGAGAAATTTGAACAGAGATTAAATATGTGAGAACATTCATCTTCCTGAAACTCCTACTTATGTGGCAAAAAGGAGAGGGACACCAATAGCATTTCAGGGGGAACCTGACTATAATCAAAAAGAACAGGTTACTTTTAGCCTATCTTTGGCTGTTATGCTTTATCCAAACATACACCCATAATTTCACTGTGTAGCCATGGCATGTTCCAGGTGTGCTGAACTCACAACGCAGTGTTAAACAGCTCCAATAGCTGAACTATGAGAAGTACCCACATTGGTAGATCACTTGAACTGCAATACTGAGACGGCCACTCACAAAAAAAGCCCTACAAGTAATAGTGGTGCTGAGTCTAAAATGCTTCCTGGTCTAGTATCTATGGTGAACTATTAAACACAACTAGTCCACTGTCAAATATAACCTACTGCTTACTAAAGAGCAAGGTAGTGAAAACTATAGTACTTTGCTTTTTCATCCCTCCACCTTTTATGCTTTCCTGTGTCATTCTCTCTAATAATATTTTTCCTGCTTATCCAGGGTTATCTGCAAATGCAATCTGTGTCTCTTTTCATTTCTGCAATGTCTTACGCGGTTTTTTCCACCTAACATGTAATAAAAATAGCTGTATCTTTCCATGCACCATACCTAGTTAGTATGACTCAACTAGGTAACAGCTGCCTCCTCTTTTGACATAGTTGCAAAATTGGAATACTATAAGATCATTATTCCTGACCAGCACTTTGAGAAGGTTGCCTTAGGTTTTTATATCACCATGCTGATTTCTTCTCTGTTACATCATTTGTCTTAGTTTTCAAGGTCCTTTGCAGCTGATTGATCCATTCTATTTTTTATTACATGTTAAGATGTCATCTCTGACCTTTGATAATATTAAATTATCAAGAGATTTTTTTTTTGGCCTTCTTACATGTTGCATCCTGCACTTAGGAGTTTCCACTTAATATCTCTCATCTTTATTTAAATTTCCCCTTAAATTAATGTGTGCTAGAGAACATTAAATACATTGTATTTTCTCATGTTGGTACTCCTGCCTCTCGCCCTGAAAAGAAGTCTTACAGTTTCTTCGCACGTATCCCCATCTGTC